TGCCCCTGCGTGCGCGCCAGCCAGGCCGCAGGTGACGGCTGGGGGCAGCGGCGCAAAAGCCTGACTCCTGCCTTGAGCCTGTGTGGTTCCAGGTCGGACTGCAGCCTCCGATTCCTGTCCAGCCCCTGGTGCGTGTTGAACAGCTGTGAGGAGAGTGGACTATAAATGTTGTCAACGGAACGATGAAATGGTACACCCAACACTGCCCATCACGCCTCAGTCACACTGCGAAAAGGCCGCCACTCGGGAACCGCTTTCGCCACTGTCCTGCAGGGCCGTGCGAGGGTCGCAGTGATATGCCGCCGCGGACAGGCGCAGGTCACGCAGTCTTCTGGAGTGACATCCTCTGAGGCCTTCCATTCACGGCCTCGCCATTCACAAGTGACGACATCACCCTGACCGAGTCTGGTGAGCCAGGACCTTTCCTCAGACATGCTCACGCAGGTGGGGCACACACTCCCCTGGAGAAGACAGTGTTAACCTCAGGATGTGCCTAGAGGTTCAGGGCTGTAAGGCATGCACAGTCTCTAACTCAGCCCTCCCTGGTGGCGCAGCGGGTTAGAGCCCAGTACTGAGAAGCTAAAGCCGCTTCCGCACGAGTTTGATCCCTGCCCCAGGGTGACCCCCAGAGTGCAGCAGACCTCTCCTGGCCCACCCGCTACTCCCCTCAGCAGTGGATTTCGTCCGTCAGCCTGTTCTGGGCCCCGCTCTGTCTCTGGGGAGGCCTCTCACTGCCCCTGCACCTCTAGCCTGCACCCCAGTTCTGTACGAATAAATAAATCTTTAATCAAAACTGCTCCCCCCATGTCTGCGCCTGTGAAGATCTTGCCCTATTTAACATTGCTAGCAGTAAAACAGCCTCTCAAGGATGTGTTACCCATTTCTCCTAGTCTTCTTTTCTGACTCACTTTTTAAACTTTCTCCAACATGTTCTCTGGAGCTGGGGACAGTAAAAGTCTTTCACGGACTTAGCGCCCTGGACCAGACCCTATCCATCAGTCTCCAGGGCTTGCACAGGAAGCGGCCGGCTCTCCTGCTGCCGCCGCCCTGGGCTCAGCTGTCCCTTCTGCTGTCCCTGCTCTGGCCCTTCTAGAACGGCACTCAAAACTCTCGTATTTGCAGCCCCAGGGCGAATGTGCTGAAGGTCGTCGCTACCTGTGACGGTGCAGGTGCCCAGACCCCAGGCGGGCCGCATCCCAGCCTCCCCGACTTTCGGGCGGGGGAGCCAGGGCAGCGCGTGCCCAGTGGAACCTGGAAACATCCTGGTGGTTTCCAGACAGAGATGGACACAACCGTCTCCGGGGGTCTTTCGGAACATGATTCCTGACCCCATTGCAAAAAGGAGCCCAGTGCCCACCCCCACGCACTTCAGGCAGCCGCAGGAGCCTCGCCACAGCAAATTCTGGAGGCCCTGAAAGCCCCACCTGCCAGTACGTGCAACACAGCATTTGCATGGTGCCGTGGAGGGGTTCAGGGCACCCCACACTTGTCCACACTTGGCCCAGGGGCAGTAGTGGACGCCGGTCGATGATCACAGCCCACCGTCAGCTCAGCCATGCAGCCCAGAAGCTGCCACTCTTGCCACTGGCAAGACTGGGCCCCGGCCTCATCCACATGCCAAGGGGCCACAGAGAACAGATGGGTTGGGGACAGCTGGGCGCCAGGCGCCGCGGTGGCTGTTCGGGGGGCAGGGTGGGTTCGGGTCTCCCAGCAGTGCGCTCGCAGGAGCAGAGAAGCAGGGCCACCTGGTATGCGCGAAGCGGGCTTGTGCCCGAGCTCTGCCAAGGGACTGGCTCCCAGAAGCACAGGACAGCTTTGGAATGGGCCGCGGGGAGGGCGCAGTGCCAGGGTGGCAGCCCCGACCCCGGAGGCATGGAGGCCCACGCGCAGGAGACGGAGGGCGGAGCCTGGGGTGTGGACATGGAACACGGGAGAGGAAACTCTTGGTGCACTTGAAGAGGAAACGGGCCTGGAGCCGGGGCGCAGTGGCTAGGGCCCGTGGGGAGGGCACACACCCCGCAGGGGTGCCCGGGGACCCAGGGACCACTTCCGGGGAAATGCAGTGGGCAGGTGGGGTCCTTGGACGGCTGTCACCTCGGAGACAGTGGCCCTGCCACTCCCAGTCCCAAGAAAGAGGGTGGCCGTGGGGTGGGGTCAGGACTCTGGGCAGGCAGGGGCGAGGGGCCTGGCAGTGCGGGAGGGCAGCGAAGGGGCAGTCGTGGTGGGAACGATGACAGCGGTTGTTTCCAGGTTTTTATTCGCCTGCTGGACTGCTGTTTATGTACACGGACTGCCGGGCGCACCGCGGGCTGGGAAGAGCCTTTCTTCCCTTTCTGAATCGGCTTTTCTTTTTCCTGGGGTGGGATCAGCAACGCTAACTGCTATAAAACCTAGAAACCACCTAGACTCGGACATCCGCCTACACACTAGTGGCACACGGGGCGGGGCGGGGACAAACGTTCAAAGTCACGGTGTATTTACATTCCCGAGGCGCGGGGAGGGCAGGCTGAGGGGAGCCATCGGGGCAGGAGTGTGGTGAGGCCGCGGGGCCTCGGGGTCAGTGGCAGCTGGAGAGGCTGGGCGTGGCGGTGAGGGTGCCGCCTGTGCCCAGCAGTGATGGAGACCACTTGGATGTTGTCCAGTGGGTACCAAAGGCAGCGTGTGTGTGGAGCCCCTGACAGCCGGCCACGAGGCGCAGACTGAGGTGAGGGCCCGGCAGACAGCCTGCTCCGCGCCCGCTGGCGGAAAGCGAGCAGGTGATGGGGGCGCAGAGCTGGGTCCCAGCCAGGCTGGCCGGCGGGCTGGAGGTAGAGGTGCCACCCTGGCCCCCAGGAGACCCCTGAGGCGCCCCTCCCCCTGCCCTCCACCGCAGCGTCTGCACAAAGGCTGGCGCGGCAGCACCTTTAGGCTCCTGATGTGTGTGAGGGGCCCCGAGCTGGAGCAAAGCAGAGTGTGCCCAAGGATGGGGTACAGCTGGGTTTTGGCAATCGAGTGGGGATCGGGGAGCCAGACGGGGATTCGAGGCAGTGAGGTCCTCTTCTGTGCCCTGACCCAAGCCCCCACGGGCGCAGGGCCAGGGGCAGGCGGAGGCTGGGTGGGGGGGGAGGGCCCCAGTCCCAGGCCAGGGGCCGGCACGGGGCCGGCCGGGCTGCGGCCTCCCAGCGCGGGCGGCTACTCCAGGGCCGCGGCGGGGTTGGTGGGGGAGGCGGCCCCTGAGCTGTCGTTGCCCCCGGCCGCCCCCTTCTCCTTCTTGCCGCTGTACTGGCCGATGAAGGAGCCGTCCTCGTTGAACTGCACGTCCACGCTGCCCCCGTAGTCGGCCAGGCTGTCATCACTGCCCAGGGGCTTTATGTCCCCGTTGAGGGAGGGTTGGCTGCTGCCAAAGGCCTTTTCCTCGTTGTCGCTGCAGGGGCAGAGGGCGGGGCAGGAGGGCGTCAGGAGGGCGTCAGGAGGGCGGCGAGCCGGCAGCGTGCGGGCTGTGGGCTCGCCGGTGCTTGGGGCTTGACGGGGGTGCCTGGCTAGCAGTCGTCCCTGGCTGCAGCTGCTGGCCCGGGGCTGCCAGGGGCCGGGGACCGGAGGGCCTGACACGGGCCGCGGGCCGCTGCTGGGAGCGAGCGTGTGCAGGGTGGGGGCGCACAGCGCTCCCGGGTCACACCACCTTACCTCTCCAGGGACCTGAGGCCGCCCGGCAGCACGAGAGAGAGAGAGACAGGGTCAGACTGGGAGAGCGGCCACTGGGCGCAGCTCGGGTGGTCACGGCCCCGCCAGCCCAGCTCACCTGTACTCGCCGAAAGTCTCGTCCTTCATGGGCCGGGCCTCGGAGTCCACCTGGGTGTCCTCCTTGTCCTTCACTGCAGACACAGAGGGGGCCAGCTGCCTCCCTGGTCCAGCCTGCCCCTGGACTCTGCCCACCCCGGGACGGGCCCAGGCGGGGGCTGTCCTCACGCCCAGAGGCCATCAAGGGTTCGCGGGTGCCCCCTCCTGGCCAGCGGCCCAGCAGCTCCCTCCCTGCGCCCCGTTCCTGCACCCGCACGCTGAGGCCGGTGGCGGCTACCTGAGTACTTGCCGCCCTTGCTGTGCTTGATGAAGCAGAGGACAAGCAAGACGAGGAGCAGGAGAACCACGGCGCTAACGAAGCCGATGAACCAGGCCTCGGTGGCAAAGCCAGCCGGCCGGAGCAGCACCCGGCCTGTGCGGGGGTGGGCCAAGCCAGGCTGAGGTGCCGGCCTCGGACGCCCCGACGCCGCCCAGCGCCGCCCACAGGGTGAGGGCTGGAGCTCAAGCCCCGGAAACTGGCATCTGGGGTTGCTCTCGCGGGTCGCGGGGGCCTGGCTGCACCCTCAGAAGGGTGCCGCAAGGGGGTGGCAGGGCGTTGACACCGCCCTCACGGCCCACAGGCACCCAGTGGCAGGGCGTGCAGGTGCCCGTGCTGAGCATGGGCCGCTAGCTGGGCGGCGCCACGGCTCCCGGAGGCCTCACCGGTGCCATTGGTCTTCACGACGATTTCCCGCAGGAGTGCGCTCTCCTTGAGCAGGAGGATCGTGTATTTGGTGTCCGGCTGCAGGTCCCACTGCGTGTAGGAGCTCTGGTTGTAGCTGACGTACTGCGGCGCGATGTGAGGGCCCAGCTTCTCGTCTGCGTGGTGAGAAGGCAGCGGGACAAGTGGCAGTGGGCGGCAGCAGCGGCTCTGTGCACCCCGGGCCGCCTGGGCCCAGACCCCCCTCCCCTCACGCCAGGGCCCTTCTTGTGCTCACCCTGGAAGGCTTTGAACCTGATCTGGAACCCAAAGTTGCACTGGCCTTCCTTAGGAACCCAGGAGACCACGCTGTAGTTCTCGCCCGTCGTGACGGAGATGTTGCCAAGATCTGGGGTCCCTGCGGGGGTGGGAGGGTGTGAGGCTGCCGGCAGCCCAAGGCGCATCTGCCCGCGCCCCCTCCGCCCCCCGGGCTCACCAGCTAGCGCCATGGTGCCACCCTCCCGCACCACGGGCTCGCCCGGGCCCTCCCTGGTGGTGGCCTGCAGCTGGAAACGGTAGCGCATGCGCGGGTTCAGGTTGGTCAGGTTGTGCATCCGCAGCTCCGGGTTGGGCAGGTGGAAGGACAGCTGCTGCTCGCTCCCGTCGTCCACTGCGGGACAGGAGGGAGCTGGTCCTGGCTGCCCGCTGTGTCTCCACTCGCCCCCCACCCTGGGCCGGGGCGGGCTGCACACGTACAGGGCTGGTAGGTGAGCACGTAGCCGGTGAGCACGCCGTTGTGGCTGCGTGGGGGCAGCCAGTGCAGCAGCAGGCTGGTGTCTGACTGGCACTCCAGCTGCAGCGCCTCAGGGCGGCCAGGCACTGCGGGCCACAGACATGAGTACGCGCGCCGCCAGGCCCGCCCGTTGGGAACAGCCGCGGCGGGGGGCCCACCAAACTCACCTCCCTCTGGGGTGTCAAAGGTCTTATTGCTGGCGGGCCCCAAGCCCCGGCCGTTAAAGGCTTGCACCTCCAGATGGTAGGAGCTGTAGGGCCGCAGGCCTCTGAGGACGGCACTGGTGGCGCTGGCGGGCACCGTTACGTGCCCTCGGTGTACATGCCTCTTGCTGTGCTTCCTCCGGCTGCCCTGCCACGCGTACGTCACCTGCAGGGCGGGACCCCGCTGGGGCACGAGGCACCGCCTGGTGGCCCGGTCGCCTCCCACCTCACCCTGGGGGTCCCCGAGCACACGGCTCGGCCCCTTACGTTGTACCCGCGGAGGTGGCCCCTGACTTGGGCGGGCTCCAGGGGCTGCCAGCTGACCAGCACGGCGCTGGCGTTGAGCACCAGCACATCTCCCAGCTCGGGGCTTGCCTGCGGGTCTACAAGAGCAGCGACGCGGATGAGCGCCCAGCGCCCCGAGCCTACCCGCGGCACTCCCGCCGGGGCAGAGGTGCGGGCGCTATGTGGGGCGGGCCCGCGGCAAGCAGGGTGCTCGCGGCAGGGAGCAACAGTAACGACGACGTGCACGAGCTGGGGCGACGACGGGCAGGTGCAGCCTGCTCCTGAGGACCCGCCGCGAGTCATGCCCATCTGCCAGCCAGACCCGCGGCCTCCACCAAGCTGGCGCCTTCCCAAAGGGGAGCCAGATGGCAGCGGTGCGGGGCGGGAGGGCAGTGGGCAGTGGGCTGGGGCGTCCATACTCACAGTCCTCCCCTGAGTAGCCCACAGTGACGGAGGGCTCCGGGCCCTTGCCCTGGCTGTTGACAGCTTGCACCTTGATCTCGTAGGGCACGAAGGTGGACGTGTTGGCCACAACCAGGAAGGGCTCGCTCACAGTCTTCTCCTGCCAGCTACCGGGCGAGCCCTGAGGGCGCCACTGGACCCGGTACTGAATCTCCGGCGCGTTCCAGTCCATCCACCTGAGTGGCTGCAGGGCGGAGAGGATCTGCTGGGCCCGAGCCGCCGCCGCCCGGCAGCGGTGCCCGGCTGTCCAGCGCACGCGCAGTCGTCAGGAGCCGTCAGGAGCCGTCGGGAGCCGTGGCGTCTGCGCGCAGCCTCACGTCCGCGGGAGCTGGGCGGGGCCCCTCACCTTCCACGTGATGACCATGTTGTCAGTCTCGTTGCCCTCCCCCTTCACGTCCACGGGGTTCTTCTCCGGTGCTGCAAAGGCACACATTAGCAGCTCAGGGCTGCCCAGGCGGGAAGGGGCGGTCCGCACCGAGCCCAGAAACCAGGAGGCAGCAGCCCCACGGGCACCCTGCCCCCAGTGTCCCTGGGGAACCTGGACCCAGAGGAGCCTCCTGGCGGGCCCTGGAGCCCCTCCCAGTGGCTCACCAGCCTCGGGCGTGACCACAGTCTCGGAGGGCGGGCTGGGGTCTCCGGCGCCATACTTGTTGATGGCGGTAACTCTAAACGTGTAGTGGACATAGGGCGACAGCTTGACGACGGTGGACGTCTGGTTCCCGGGCACCTTGCCCAGGCTGTGCAGTTTCTCAGGGGCCATTTCCTTGTCTTCAAATTCAATGTCATACTCTGCCAAGCAGGGAAGAGCCGTGGAGTGATCCGTGTGGGTAACATGGGGGGAGTCACGGGGGACAATTCTGGCTCTCTCTGAGGACAGAGGATGGCCAGAAGGCCCGGGCAATCGGCTTCCTCGGTGCCCATGAGTCCCCAAACCCAGAGGTGAGGTCCAGTGAGGAGGGCCCGAGGGGAAACACAGTGGCTGGCAGTGAGGGCGGCGGAGGGCACGCTCGGGCCTCTTACTCTCGATGGGGGCGTTGTGGTCATCAGCAGGGCTCCAGGACAGGCGCACCTGGTTCTGCTTCAGCAGGTGACGATCAGACAGCTCCAGATGGGGCACGGGCCCGGGGCTCCCTGAGAGTCACAGGGGTGGGTGCTCCCGCCCGCCCCCAAGCCACCGCCAACCCACATGAAAGGGCCAGGCAGCTGGGCCATGCTCCTGTGCCTGTGGCGCCCCGATGCCCTCCAGCACAAGCCCCACACCGTCCCAAGACTCACCGACCACCAGGAGCTCGGCCCTGCTCTCCACCGTGTCCAGCTGGGTGCTGGCCACACAGCTGTAATTGCCCTGGTCACCATAGTCCAGACTGTGGATGACCAGGCGCCCATCCTCTATGAAGTACCTGGGAAGGGCATGTGTGTCCTGTTCCCAGCTGCCCAGAACCCCCAAGTCCGGTCACTCCCACGATGAGAACGAGGTCATGCCTGCCCTTCCCTCCCACGCCACCCTGAGCGCAGGTAGGGGCTGGCCCGCACTTGTCACTGTCCCCCAGCTCCTGCAGGGCTCGGCCATCACCACGCCAGCTGATGCGGCGCTGCAGGGAGGGGTCAAAGGAGGCCTGGCACGTGAATGTCACCCTTGAGCCTTTCTTCCCGATGGCGCTCCGGGGCCCCTGTGTGATCCGAGTGGCATCTGAGGGTGATGAGGGGGTGGGAGGTCACCCTGGTGTCCTCCGGAAGCCCTCCCCTCCCCTCCTCCGACGTCCCACGTATCTCACAGCCTGGGAAGCTGCTACCTTTGACCTGTAGGTTAGCCGCAATGGTCACGTTGTTTTGGTCATTAGCGGCCTGGCAGAAGTAGTGCCCGGTGTCGTTGGCCTGCAGGTCCCGGATGCCCAGGGTTCCGTTGGTGTAGGGGAAGAAGCGCTCGTCCTGCAGCACCGTCTTGCCTTCCTGGTCCAGCCTACGGAGCAGGACGCGGCGGGCTCAGCCCTGCTTGGGCCGGGCTCCGCCACCGTCCCTGGCTCTCAGGGCTGCAGATGCTTAGAGGCACTCACCACTGGACGCTGGGCACCGGGGCGCCAAAGGCCTTGCACAGAAGGTAGGCGGTGCTGCCCTCCACTGCCATGTATGTCTTGTTGTCTGGGGTCAAGATTTTGGTCGGCAGCTCTAGGGAGTGGGCATGGGAAACGAGGCAGGGTCAGGCCTGGTGAGGACACCGCGTTGAGGGGTGGACGCAGGGCAGCTGTGCCAGGAGGGCCCGTGAGCTTCGGAAGTGCCAGGCTGCTCACGGCTCCTACCCCCAGGCTGAGCCATGACATGTGCACGTGTACGTCCCCCCGTCCCGGCCGCCCAGGCTCGACCGACCGTTGGAGCCTCCTGACCGGCTGCCTCTTCTCGAGAGCTACCCAGTTCCACCTTCCCCCAGGCTCCGTGGAGGGCCAGGCCTCACCGGGAGGGACTTCTGCAGCTGTAAGTGACGCAGGGCCCTGCTCCCCTTCCTTCACGACCCCACCCTGATGCTGCAGGGCAGGCGAGGGGGGTGCGAGGACCTGGCAAGGGCAAAGCAGCTGCTGGTCGAGTCAGTCTGGGGGCTTCAACCGGAGGCCCGGGATGGGGAGCGCGGCCCAGCGACTGACACTCACGGACCACGTAGATATAGGCGTTGGCCAGTAGGACGCCGTGCCGGTTCCGCGCCTCGCACTGGGTCACCATCGTGTCACTGGGCTGCACGTTGCTCAGTATCAGGGATCCGGGCTGAATCCGGTATTTCTGGTCCTTGGTCAGTTCTGTGTGCAGCAGGCAGGCCCGAGGGCCGGGGCGGGGCTGAGTCCCCGCCTGGCCTTCCCTTCCCTCTCCTGTGGTCCCAGACTCACAGTGCTTCCTCCCCTGCCCCTGCCCACAGCGGCTCACCCTGCACGGGGATCCCGTTGATTCTCCAGGTGACCTCAGGTTGCGGCCTGCCTTGAACCTGGCAGTCCAGGCGGGCCGTCTCTCCTGGCCCGTACAAGCGGCTCTGGGGTTTGCGGAGCCAATATGGAGCGGCTGCAAGAGAGGAAAGCCAGGCTGAGCCCAGCCTGCCGTCTGCTCTGGGCCTGGCACCAGCCCCACCTGCCGCATGGCAGTGGGCATCAGACACCAACGTGTCAGCATCCTTTTGGGGAGCCTGCAGCAGTGCTCATGCCCAACAGAGGCGCCCTACCCTCCACGGTGACGTCGTAGGTGTGCCGGGCACTGCCCAGCGAGTTCTCGGCCAGGCAGAGGTACTCGCCGTAGTCCTCCTCGCCCACGTTCAGCAGGTGCAGCGTCTTGTTGTGGTTCTGGTAAGTGACCCGGTCGGCTGGCATGGGGACGCTCAGACGCAGCCACTTGATGGTGGGCGTGGGGCTGTGCAGGGAGGGGAGGACACGGGCCTCAGCTGAGCCCAGGCTGCGGCCGCCGCCTCCCTGCCCCGCAGACTCACAAGCCCTCGGCAATGCACTCCAGGACCAGCGGCTGTCCCTGCAGGGCCACGAGGCGGCTGCTGGAGTTGGTGGGGAAGAGCAGGCGTGGCTTCCTGTCGATCATGCTGTTGGCTGCAAGAGGGAAGAGGCTGGGCATGTGGCTGGCACCCTGCACCCACGGGCGACTGGGCAGGGCCTCCTGCTCGCCACAGGCAGCCTTCTCTGTTCTCACCCCCGGGGCGGGGTGGGGCAGGGGGAGGGGGAGCCAAGCCGTCTTCAGGGAAGATCCAGGGTGTGTGCTGGGTGGTGGGGGGCGGAGCCTTCTGCACTCACTGGCCTTCACCCGCAGGTCGATGGGCTCCTTTTGAATGATGGTCCGGGTGCCGGGGAAGTGGGCGTGGCAGATGTAGTCCGAGTGGTTGTCTGAGGTGAGCACGTTGGCGAAGTAGAGATTGCCATTCTGGCCCATGGTCACCCGCTCATCCTGCTTGATGTGTAGGATCTCTGCGGGGGCAGGGTGCAGTCAGGGTTCCCGCCACGAGACTGCGCCCCGGACCCCACCCTAGGAGCACCGCCGTGGCACCCACTGCTGTTCATCCAGTAGATCCGAAGCGGCTCGGCACTGGGCGGGGGGTGGCAGGGCAGGACCACCGACTCCCCTTCCTCCACCTCCACCGGCTTCACCATCTCCTTTGGCCACTTGGGGGCACCTAGAAGGGACGGAGGCTGACAGCGCTGACAGCGGCCCCAGCTCTCCCACGGTCCAGGCGGTGCAGGGCAGTGGGAAGGGGACCCAGGGCCTTCCTGGGAGCGGCCAAGAGGATGAGTGGCCAGGCTGGTGGAAACGCGCTGCCCAGATGGAGGGCGGTGCCCGATGAACAGGAGAGCCGGCTCTGGCCATGCTCCTGAGGGCGACCATCTCCGGTTCTCAGCCCCCAAGGGCAGGACAGGGACCGTGCTGGGGGAGGGGAGCCATGCGGGGATGCGGGAGTCACAGACCCTTCCATCATCCGAACATGGGAACCATGGCAACGGTTCCCAAGGTGACCATCGGAGGAGAGGTGCGGGGAGGGTGGAGTCGAAGGGAAAGCCCCAGGGAGAGGGCGACAGAGCACAGAGCTCAACAGCAGGGGACAGGCCAAGAGGCCAGGTCGGTGGCAAAGGGAGAGATGAGGACAGAGGGGGTCAGCAGAGGGAAGAGGACACAGATCGACGGGGAGGAGCAGAGAGGACAGAGGCTGCGGAAGGGAGCGGAGCGTGGAGATGGCCACAGGACAGAAGGCCAGGCCAGGCGATGAGTCAGACAGCCAGGCCAGGCTAACGGAGGTCCTGGCAGGGGCCCGACCCCCCAGAAGGAGAGGGGGAGAGGGAAGGGGCTGACCAGAAGACAGGGCGGGGCAGCTGGCAGCTGCTGGCATCAGGAGAGGAGGCGTGTTGAGCCGGGAGGGCACCCAGTGCTCTGTGCCCGTGAAACAGCCCGGAGGCACCCCGGCTCCCGCGCCAACGCCCCGCCTCACTCCGAGACTCGCCCCTGATGCCCGCGCCGGGCCCTCCCGCGCCTCGCACCCTCAGCCATGAGCTGGATCTCGTGGGACATGGCGGTGCCCAGGCTGTTGCTGGCAAAGCAGCGATAGGTGCCCTGGAACCTCTGGGCAAAGTTGCTGTTGTTGCCGGTGATGGTGAAGGAGCCGGAGTGAGGCGCCTGCTGCGCGGTGACGCCCAGCTCCTCGCTGGGCCTGAAGTGGACGCCGTCCCGAGTCCAGCGGAACCTGTGGGCGGGCAGCGGCTCAGGGCTTGGCGTCCTGGAGCCCAGCACAGGGACGCAAGGGGCCAAGGGCTCGAGGGGCCGGGGCCCCCAGGGCAGGCTGGCGCAGGGCAGACCCACCACGAGCCAGGGCTGGTGACAGGCGAGGGGCACAGGGCGAGGGGCACTCACTGCACTTCGGGTTTGCCGCTGGCCTCGCACTTGAGGCTGATGTCATCTGTGGGGAAGACAACCAGGCGCCGTGGAGACTGCTCCGTGATGACAGGCGGCTCCATCACTGGGGACGGGAGCGGCAGTGCGGTGAGCACAGTGGCCTCACGGCCTCCAGCCTGTCCCATTGTGGGGAACAAGGGGCCGCAGCCCCAGAGGAGCTGCGGCTGCAGGGCGGGGGCCCGCACGCCTGGGCCAGGGCGCGAGTCGGGGCGGAATGGAGCAAAGATCGGACAGAAGTGAGGAAAGGTGCCTCGAAGGCAAGAGCGTGAAGGAAAGAAAAGGGCAAAAGCCAAAGACGTCCCCCCCCCAGGGCACGGGAAGACAGCAGCCCCAGAAAGAGGGGCTGCGGGGCGCACCCTGTCCCACTCTCCTGGGCCTCTGGGAAGCACCCCTCCCCCGACTCACCATGGTGCCCTTCATCTGCACGATCCGGGTGGGCGGCATGAGAGAGAGAGAGAGGGAAGGCTGCGCCCGAGGCCTGGCAGACCCCATGAGGACGGGGCAAGTGGCAGCTGCCAGCTTGGAAGCTCAAGACGACAGGAGAGGACAGAGCCTGGGTCCCAGCACCCAGGGCGAGGCGATGTGGGTGTGGCCCCAGCAGGCGGGGGAGAAATGCTGGCCTTCAACAAGGCGTGCCCTTCGGACAGACCCTGGCCAGGCCCTTCACTGTCCTGGCAGAGCCTGCACAGCCCCGCCCGCCCAGCGTGGTGTCTGCTGTCCAGGCAGCCGGTGCCCTCCCCGCCCCAGCCCACTTCCCTCCTAATCCAATTAGCACAGCTCTGTGTTTTCAATTACCAGGCGCAGCCTCCAGAGCCCAGCGGCCCCTCCCCAAGGCGCGCGTCTGAGTCTGCGTGCCCGCAGGGCTCGCTCGCTCGAGCTGCCTTTCTCTCTCTCCTTCCTTCCACCCAGCCTGCCACCAAGCTCCGTGGGGCAGGGGCCAAAGCAGCTTCCCCCACCCCAGGGCTCAGCCAGCACCCTGGCCTGGAGGAGAGGACCTAGGAGAAGTGGGGAGGGGAGGGGCCCAGTGGCTGCTTCTGGAAGCTCTGTCTCCACCAGAGACCTCGTGTAAGGCCCCAGGAGAGGGGGCTGCTCCCTGAAGACACTGCAAGGAGCCCTGAGTTGGGGAGGGGCCGAGCAAGCAAGCGACAGGACTGGGAGAACAGAATGGGGGAAAGCTGGGTGGAGGAAGCAGGATGACACAGGGAGCCTGGATGGCAGGAGGGAGAGCGCCCAGATGGGGGCAGTTCCCACGCGAGGGCAGGCCCCCGGGGACAGCAGGGCATCAGGTGCGAAACACTCAGTGGGGCTGTCCTGCTCGGGGCCTCGTCTCTCCTCGCTCCCGTCCCTGAATGGCCCCTGTCCCTCCACAGACACAGCAGCCAGATGGCCCAGCCACGTGGTAGCAGAAGGCCGGCGGCCGGGCAAGACCTGAAAGCAACCGAGAGGCACTAAGGGAGGAGGGCGGCCGCGGCACAGGTGTCCCAGGGCGCAGCGCAGCGTTTCCGTGTCCAGCTGTGAGTTTGCAGCGCAGGTGTCTCTGGGGTGCCGGTGAGGGCAGTGTGTGAGTGGGAGCCTGCGTTCAGGGCAGTTTTGTGCCTCACACACACCTATGGGTTGTATGGATGCCGCCTTTGTGTCTGAACCTCTCTTGGGGTGTCAGTCCCTGCCTATCTCTGTCAGGAAGGGGTACAAGTGCCTGGCTCACCCCTGTCTACCTGTGTGCATAGCTGTGTGCATCTGTAGCTGTGGAAACTGGTGTGATTGCAGGACCCTCCCTGTGCGTGACTGAGGGGTCACTCACACCTCTGTCACACCTCCTCCAACACCTGCCCCCAATGCCAGCTGCCTCCGAAGGCCACTTCCCTCCACACCGGAGTGGCCGGCCTTTGCCACCACTGCATCCACCAATCTCCACGGCCACTGCCCCTGAGCGCAGAAGAGATGGCGAGGTGGCAAGATGAGGGGAGCAGCCCTGAGGAGCAGGGCGGGCTCACAAATGCCCTCACACGCTCCCCGGCAAACTGCCCCTTCACACAAGCCTTTTCCTGCATGGCATTCGCTGTCTTTACGTTTCCTGCTCACATTCAGGAGAACGCACATGCAGGAACCTCCCTGTGCGCGACCACAGCAGCACACAGAGGCTCACAAGCACACACTCATTGCAGTCACATGTGAACAGACACCACAGACCTTCACAAAGCTGACCAATGAGTAACAGTTGTCATGACTCACAAACGTACCCATACAGGAAATCAAAACCAGCTCATTGACACGCACACGCAAATATAGTCTGCCCAGATCACAAGCATACGCAAATACTCGTGTTTGCTCACGACCCTCCAGCCACACTCCCCAACACCCATGACCTCCCACAAACAGAGCACTCCGGCTCCCCAACCCCCAGCCCCACATCAAATCACAAGGTGGCCAGAGGCTCCTGCGTCTTCTCCTGTCTCAGTCCACCAGCAAGACTACCAAAAGCCCAAAACGGGATTGCCCACATCAGAAATAGGGCGAAGACTTGAGTCCAGGCCTTATCACAAACTAGTGGATGACTGGGAAGGCCCTAACCTACTTACCGCCCACCACACCCCTGGGAGAAAAGGAAGGCCGGCTGTCTCGCGAAGGCAGCTGCTTGGAGGCAGAACCAGCGCCCCTGTCCGCTGTCCGCGGTTCTGAAACCTCCCCAGCCCTCCTGCTCTTCTGTTCTCTGTCCTTGGTGCTGACACACCTCGCAGCTTCCACTCTTATCCTTTCCAGAAGTACCCAACGTCCTGGGTATCTCCTGCCCACTCCGTGCCCAAAAAAGGAGGGATGAGGGTGCACAACTGGGAGGTGAGGTGGCAGAAGATAAAGGGGAGGCCAGCGTGGAGGCGGAGGGAGGCACCGAGTCTCCCGGCAGCTACTCACATTCTTCAGGGATCTGTATGAGCAGGCCGGGGCTGCACAGGAGGAGAGGCCACAAGTACTGGAGTGCCACAGCCATCTTCCTGGAGGCACCAGCGGCTCGGCAGGGCACAGCCGGCCGGGAACTCAGGCTCCAGCCAGAGGGAAGGGGGCCGATGAGAGGCTTAGGGTGGGAGCTGGGGATGGAGGCACTGGGAGAAGGGAAAGGAAGTGGGGCGGAGGGGGAGAGAGAGAAAATGGATGGATGTTAGTGACTGACACCTGGGTGTGCCCAGGTGTTTAGCCCCGCCCCAGCCCCACCCTGGCTGTCCTCCCCTCCCCCCACACTGTCTAGAGAGAGAAATCTGGAAGCAACTTAGCCCAGCTGGGTCTTCAGGTTGTCGCTGAGTCTCTTCCTGCTCTGTCTGTGCTTTCCCCGCCAGCTGCCTCCCCAGCACCAACTTGTTGCCCCAATCAGCTCCCCTGGGTACACCACAGGCTGCTCCGTACATGCTGCCCCCATGTGTGCAAGCAAGCAGGTGCCTGTGGCATGCTTGTGGGTGTGGCTCTGCATGAAGCCACGGCACATCATATTCATGTGGCCGTGTGTGCGCGCACATCTGCACACGTCCTCCCAGGAGGGCACACGCCTGAAAAGTTGTATGTCTGAGGGAAGCAGTGCACAGGTCTGCTAGCAATCTGCACACAGGTGCTGAGTGTCTTCTGGTGTGGCTGTATCTGTGGTAGTGCGGCTTCATGGCCCTCTCTGTGTACACACGCACTCATGCAACATGCACGGAGAGAATCTTATCTCTGGGTTTTAAAGCCAAGGGACTGCTGGGCGCTGCTTAGGCTGAAGAAGCTGTGGGGGCTTGGGAAGTGGGGACAGGGAGAGAGGAAAGGGTCTCAAGAAGGTTGCTTTTCACAGAACAGGTTCAGGAAAAGCAAGAAAGAAGAGGGGAAGAAGCTTGCCTTCAAGAGAGGCAGGAGGGAGGAACGTACCCCTCCACAACTCCTCAAATTCCCAAGGGTCAGCAGTGGTGGCAGTGGCCAGGACAGGGGCACGGGAAGCTCTGGGACAGTGTTTCTGATGCCTCGAGCGTCCGGGAAATGTAATTTCTGGTTCTTGTTGTGTCTTCAGAACCCAGCTCAAGCCCAAGTAATTCCAGCCTTGTCTACATTCAGGGGGTTCTGAGAGCGGGGGGCCCAGGAAAAGGCAGCTTCTGTGTCAATGGCCAGAAGAGGAATCGTCTCAAAGGCCGTGCTGATGAGAAAGGAAGGGCGTGCAGGCAGCACTGACAGTACAGGGCGCCGCTGGGGTCTGGATGCCCTCACCGGATCATACTGAGCATGCTCCCCACGCCCAGTCAGCACCTTGGCAAAGGGGGCAAGCCTCCTGCAGACATGGAAGGGTGGGTGGCGAAGAATGCTCTGCTCAGGAGGCGAGTGGGGGTCGTAAATTGGCTTTGTGTAAGGAGGTGACCCCACAAGAGTGGCGAATACAGCAGGCTGCCTGGGACTGGACAGAAAGGAGAGGGTGGCAAACAGCAGCCCTCAGACGCCCCCACCCAAAGCCGGAGGGGAAGCGGAGAGCACTGGGGCGGGTCAACATGGATGGGGGGGGTAGGCAGAGGTGAACACCGGGCCCCTCCCAGTCTCTGAGAGCTGTGCTGGGGCCCAGAAGAGCGGAAAACAGCCGGCCTGTCCCGCCCCACTGCGCCCCACAAAGCCAGTGTAAGCGGGGTGGCCGCAGGCGGCCTGGCCTCAACTTCAAGGCCTGTAGGAAGCGGCTGGAGACTCAGATCAGAGAGCAGGCGATCAAACAGCAGCCTTGGGAGCTCAGTCCTCAGGTCTTCGGAGGGGGAGGGGAGGGCGGCCAGCCCTGCCCCCAGCAGCCCAGCACTGATCGCTGGCTGCTGTGCACGTCATTTTGCCCCCACATCTAACTGCCCTGAGGAGCACACCGAGGGTGTGCAAGACACCTCCAGCCCTGCGCTCCCGTTTCCTGTCCTGTCTCTGTCCTGTTCTGGTCTCTCAGCCAAGCTCATCCAGTCTCTTGGCATTCGCCACCACGTTCTCCACCTCCCAGGGCACTGGGAGGCAGAACGGTGAGCCCATGTTGACAGCTGGGAGGGACTTGCTCTCTGCCCCCCACCAAGCTGACCAAGCTGCCTGCCCAGATCGCCCACCATTCCTCAGGCAATTAGGCAGCTCAGCAGGGCCCCACCCTCAGCACCTCGGGGGAAAGCAGGCCCGAGCTGGTGTGCAGATGGGGCCCAGGCCGGTCTGAGGGGAGCGTCTGAGGGGAGCGGCTGGGAGGCTGGAGGGTGACAGACAGAGAGGAGGCAGGAGGCAGCAGGAAAGCTGGGAAGTAGGTCGGGGGAGGGAGGCAAAGACGACCTGGACCACCAGTGTAAGCTAGACGGGAAGTCAGGGAGTCAGAGAAGCCCAGACGCAGACCAGGCAGTGAGGAAAAAGAGTACAAAGGGTGCGAGCTGCAGAAAACAGTGGCGAGAAACGGCTGTAAGAGACAAGAGCGAGGGGCTCGCACACACGCACCAGCACACGTCTGTGCGCGTGCACGCACACTGCCTGGCGGCGCTGCCTTGATGTCCTTGTCCCCGGGGGCTGTGCCAGGCAAGGGACAGGAGGGGGAAGCAGATGTGAGCCTGCATCAGGGGAGTCGGGGGAGCTTCCGGGTGGCAGGTGAGCCAGGACTGGCTGCACGGTGAGGCGTGGGCAAGGCAGGAAAGGCCCCTGGCCACTTGTGGCACCTGCAGAGAGGCGGCAAGACGAGCAGTCATTGCGGTCCTCTGAGAGCAGGTGGGGCCACCACACCGACAGGGCAGCAGGCACCCAAGATTGGCCAAACTCAGAGTGCTGTCTGCGGGGGGGGGGGGGGGCAACTGTGAGCGTGAGTGTGTGAGCTTCTGCAGGGGCACCGAGACACTGGCTGGCCAGCCCCCAGCGGGCACTGAGGGGTGCCAGGTCCGGCCTGACACGCCTGCAAGGAGGGGCTCAGGAGGCCACAGGGGCCCCTCCTCTGGCCCCTGGCCGCTGACAGGCAGGCACCTGCGAGCCTGGCTGAGGCCAGGGTGGCTGCTTCCCTCCAAATGCACCCCAGCCTGGGACCCCTACAGCACCTGCTCACTGCACCCCAAGGCCCAGATCCAGGGTCTGCCCCATCCTCTCTGCTCCTTCCCAGGGGGCAGAAACGCCTGACTGGCTAGGAGCAAACCTAGGGACGCCAGCCAGGGCTTCTATGCCCCCACCCCAGGCCCCGGCAGGCCTGAGCGGGGTCGGGCTGGGGGCTCGGCACCCAGGTCTGTGAGACAGAGACGTGCAGCCCCGACGGCTGCCGGTGAGCCTGTGAGGGTGTGAATGTCACCTACACCCAAGCCGTGTGTGCCTTTAAGCTCCTCCTCCCCTCCCCCAGGCTGTGGCTGGCGGGTTTCCATGGAGATGGAGGCCACCTCCCTCCCCTGGCAGAGAGGGGGAAGCCAGAGGAAAAGCTTGCCAAGCTAATGGCTTATTTCGATAATACATAAAGGAGGTTGCTGCGTGGGTGCCCCCACAGGGACCTGCCCCCCCAAGCCTACTGGACCAGCGGCATTGTCTGCCCTCCCACCTCGCCTTACCCCTCCCTAAGGGGGCCCCCTAGAGTGCACCCTCAGCCCCCTCAAGATTGCGGTCTCCAAGGCAACGACAGCTCACCTGTAATGGACCATTCTCCAGCAAGGATGAGGAAGGGGCGGGACTGAGGTTAACCCTTTGCTGAGAGTGGGGAGGTGGGTTCTGGGCAAGGTACAGGCTCCCCTAACACATGCACTCACACCCAGCTCCATTCGGGCCTCAAGAAGGGCGGGGAAGTGCTGCCTTCAGTCCCAGTTACAGGAGAGGAAACAGGCTCAAGGAACGGGACACAGGCTCGCGGTGGGTGCAGACCCCCGCAGCGCCTGGCTAATGGTGGGGGGGCAGCTGGACCCTCAGGATCTAGAGCACCCAGCGTCCGACCTGCTCGCTGTCCTGGGCGTGGTCAGAGCTCTGGTCCAGGATGCTCTGTCTGGTCCAGGATGCTCGCTAGGCAGATGGCAGGGACTGGATCCCAGGAGGGTGCCATGTGGGAGGGGCTGTGACCCCGCTTGGCCAGCGGGCTTCACACGAGCCCACCCCCGCGAGGACTGGCCACCAACAGGCCGATTTCGTGGCCTGCTAGGCTCGCCACCACCTGCGCTCCTGTGCACCCTCCGTCGGTGGGGGCAAAGGCCCCCAGCACCACCTCCCAAAGAAGCCCCCCAAGGCCTCCCTGTCCAAACGGGACTGAGAAATAGTGTTGTCCGCTCCCTTGCAGAAGGGGAAACTGAGGGCCAGGGGTGTGGGCCAAGGCTCTGGCCTCCTAGAGCACCAGTGCGGGAGAGGAGTTCCCCACACAGCTGGAAAAACTGGTGCCTCCACCCAAAAGCCACCCCCCACCCTCCTCTGACACCCCTTGGGCTGCAAAGCGGGCACAGAGCAAGAGCAGCGAGGTCGGGGGGTCAGTGTGCTGAGTCCTGGGGCCCAGAGAAGGTGCAGAGTGGGGAGCTCAAGGGAGGGGCGGGCACTCTGAAGAGGGGAGCGGCAGAGGGGAGCAGCCCGCCTGGAGACAGAGTGCTAGTCCCTGGGACCCACTCAGACAAGGCCAGCTCCCTCCCGCCTCCTCTGGGCTCCCCACTCCCAAAGGTTAAAGGGCAGAGGGACACAGGAAGCTTGGGGGTGGACAATGGAGCCTCTGTCCACTCCGCATTCCTGAGCCATGAACTCCGAAGGCCTGAGCCTGAGCAGCGGGAGAGGCCCTGCAAGCACCCTCCCAGTCATTCGGGGCTCCCCTCCACGAGGGCCTCCCGGGGACCAGGTGGGGCAGGAGGCCGTGGGGCGCGCTGTCCTGAACACACAGGCAGCCAGATCGGTATGTGACTCCGCACATGTGCCCCGAGCCCCCCAAACCTCTGGGCCTCTCCCACATCTGCCTGCTCTGAAGCTCCTGGGACTCAGCCCCTCTCTTCAAGCCCCCTTTCGGCTCACTGCCAGGCGGAGTAAGTACAGAAGGCCCTGCCCCGGCCACACCCAAGGGCGCTGCTGCCGCAGCCCGGCTCCCCAGGGCCTGGCCACAGAGCTGCCCCGCTCCCTCTGCAGCGTCCTGGGCGGGGGAGAAGGGGCAGGGCCGAGGTTCTGA